AACTAGAAACAAAATGGAGATACCCCACCAGGGCCTCATGACTTGATGCACTGTGGGCACCAGACCAGGAGGGTGGGGCCTTTATCTCCCTCTCCTGAGGTCAGTCACATTCCAGGAGTTGTTTTTTGAATATTAAGAAGACATGACCTTGATTCAGAACACTAGGGCTCTGGGCTGTGACTCTTTATTGAGATTCGTCAGACACCACACAGAATCATTTACTAGCAGAGACACTGCCACGATGGGGTCTTTGCTGTCATTTGAAGCAGACAGCAGGGCATCTTGCATCACTGCCTATGTCTTCTGCAGAACCCTCTCTTGCTCTGGGCCCCACTCAGGAACAGCAGCCTTATGGGTCACCTGATAATTGGGTAGGAGTATCATTTTCAAAAGGTCCCTGGGTGGCACAAATGGATTACTCTTAGCTACTAACCTAGAAGTTGGTGGTTCAAACCCACCCAGCAGCACATTGGAAGAAAGGCCTGATGATTTGCTTCCATATGGTTTACAGCCAAAAAACCCTATAGAGCAGTTCTATGCTGTAACACATGGGGTTGCCATGGCAGCAGAGTTTTGAGAGAGAGATATATATAGTTATCATTTTCAAATGTAATATAAGCTTTCTCCAAAATTTACAAGTCCTCCCAAGAACTACACCTTTTTCTTAGTGATAAAAATTGCAAGGTGCAGGATCTTGACCTTTACCTTGGAGGAACCGCCCCAGTTATGCCCAAGCCAGAGGTCAGCAAACATTTTCTGTAAAGGGTCAGATAGTAAACATTGTAGACTTTGCTGCCCGTGAGGTCTCTGATGCAGCTATTACAATGCTCTGCAATTTGCTCCAGTAAAGATTTCAGCCTAGGAAGCCCTATGGGTCAGTTCTACTCTGTTATATAGGGTCACTGTGAGTAGGAATTGACTCAGCAACACACAACAGGTCAGATTTGGCTCAAGGACCCTAGTTTGCCCAATACCTGCCCAAGACTGTTGAACTTTAGAAACCGTCCTGATGTGGCACAGCCCTGAATTCTTCCTCTGTCTAGCTCACATGTGTCTTCCTAGGGCATCCAGAGTACTTTCTGCTCCCCCCTCTCCAACTCTGTCCAGTTCACATGTCATCAATATAGTGCATCATTGAAAGGTGATCAGTGTCTCTTCAGATTCTATTGTTAACAGAGAGCTGGACAAAAACAGGGAATGTGCTGTTACGTTATGTGAAGGTAGGATTTTTTTAATCTCCTACATGATGCGGTGGTTGGGATCATCTGTTCTAGTAAAGACAGCACATTAAGTACTGCTCTGTGATGGGGCTACTACTTAGTTAAGTGTCTGGTGGTTCGCTATCATCTGCCATGATCCCTCTAGTTTTTGCTGGGGCCAGACAGTAAATCAAAAGGGTATGTGATGCTTCTCTCGTTAAGTCATTGAGTGGCAGCCCTGACCTCAGACATTACCCACAAGTTGCAGTATCACTTCTTATTGACTGTCTTGGATGGGGAGTGTCGTATCATTAAGGCTCTTATTTCACAAGTTGAGATCCAATGTGAGGGCTGTCAGCTGCTTATGATATCCACCCCAGTTATTCATGTGAAGAAATGACCTGAGAGGGGTCTGTAAACCTCCTGAACCCACTGTGAGATGAACTTGGCCCACACCTCCATTCATCACTTGGTCAGGCTGGTATGGGCTCCCCAGGTACCAGTGTCATCTCAGACTGGATATCCAGCTGCCCTCCAGTGACTTGGGTCATTCCCTTTCCCTTGGTCCCACAGGGGAAGGATTGATAATTTATTGCATAGGATGGTGTCATGGACTGAATTGTGTCCCCCAAAAATATCTGTCAACTTGACTGGGCCATGATTCCCAGCATTTGTGATTGTCCACCATTTTGTCATGGGATATGATTTTCCTGTGTGTTGTAAATCCTATCTCTATGATGTTGATGAGATGGCATTGTGGAAGTTATGTTAATGAGGCAGGACTCAAATCTACAAGATTAGACTGTGTCTTCAGCTAGTCTCTTTTGAGATATAAAAGAGAGAAGTGAGTAAAGAGACATGAGGACTTCATACCACCCAGAAACAAGAGCCAGAATAATGCATCCTTTGGACCCATGGTCCCTGCGCTGAGAAGCTCCTCAACCAGCAGAAGATTGATGACAAGGACCTTCCTTCAGAGCCAATAGAGAGAAAGCCTTCCCCTGGAGCTGACGCCCTGAATTTGGACTTGTAGCCTACTAGACTGTGAGAGAATACACTTCTGTTTATTAAAGCCATCCGTTTATGGTATTTCTGTTATAGCAGCACTAAATAACTAAGACAGATGGTTTTAATGCTGCCAGGTTCTTCCTCTACTTCAGTTGGTGGGTGGTTTCTGGGTCTGACACCTGGCTGCATTCTGAAACAGAACAAGACCCTGATTTTTTGAAACAAAGATGGCTGACATCAGCTTTCTGCTCCCCAGCTCTTACTATGTGAGCCAAGCCATGACCTCACTGTCTGCCCTGATGTCTCATCTCTAGAAACACAGAGGACTTTTAGCCTTCATCACAGATCCTGCAGGTCTAGGCCCCTTGTCCTTCAGGCTTTGCTGCCCATTATGGCAATTATGCTTATTTTGCATCTGGAATCCTTTTGTCCCTATTTTCTCCTGCTAACCCAGGCTGAGAGAGAATTTCCATTAAGCTTTTCAAAATGCTGTTGCCCTCACTACTGTATTTCTTATCAGTTTAGTGAAAGAATGTCCTTGGGCCATTCAGGGAACATTTTCAGTTGGGGTCTTCTCTGTCCTTATATACTGAACCTTTCCTTGCATGCCTATCTCTCTGGCCTCTTTCTCAACACCCAAACAACTCTCTCATTTACTGAAGGCTGTTGTCTCCAAGCCGCAAGGATTCATCCCAGCAGTTTATCAGAACGGACTGTAGGCATTTTGCTCAGAATTTAAGTCTTGAGTCACATAACCCACTCTTGAGTCACATAACCCACTGTCATCAATTCCAACCCATAGTGACCCTATAGGACAGAGAAGAACTGCGCCATAGGGTTTCTAAGGCTGCTAGTTTTACGGAAGCAGACTGCCACATCTTTCTTCCATGGAGCAGCTGTAGGTTCAAACCACCGACCTTTCAGTTAGCAGCCAAGCACTTAACCATTGCACCACAAGGGCCCCTTTTGAGTCACATAGATGCCCCATATCAATCAAGTTTTATACTCAGCCCTCCTATTCAGCATCCTCAAGATCTATTCCCGGATATGTGCTGTGGGTCCTGCCCATCTTAATCAGGCCCTGCAGCTTTTTTGGTGAAAAATCCATTTTGTTTTGTAGTAGCGACTCCTCCTCATGTCATGCCCAGTCTTGGTGCTAGTTTTCTAGAACAAAGATCAGCAAACTTTTTTAAGGGGGAAAGACAGTAAAACATTTTAGGCCAGAGGCAAAATTGAGAATATTCCCACAAATTTTTTACTGATGAAACAAAATAATTGAGTAAAATTTTTGTAGTACAGGTCCCCTAATAAGAGCAGAATTCTTTTGGAGAAGACATTTTGCTTTAATTGGGATTCCCTATCATTAGATTGAAAGGAGCCCTGGTGGCACAGTGGTTAAGCACTTGGCTGCTAACTGAAAGGCAGGCAGTTTGAATCCACAGGCTGCTCCACAGGAGAAAGATGTGGCAGTCTGCTTCCATAAAGATTTAGCCTTGGAAACCCTATGGGACAGTTCTACTCTGTCCTATAGGGTGGCTGAGTCAGAATCGACTTGATGGCAATACGTTTGGATTATCAGACTGGAGCCCCCGGATGTCACAAACGGTTAAGTGCTCAGCTGCTGACCGAAAGGTTGGGGCACCTTGGAAGAATGGCCTGAGGATCTGAAAAATCAGCCATTGAAAATCCTGTGGAACACTCACTGATCCACACAAGGTTGCCATGAGTCAGAATCAACTCTGTAGCAACTGCTCTGGGTTTGGGGGGGTCCTTTCTGGAACAAGGTTAGGAAAGGGGGGTAGACAGATGAGAAACTTGAAGATGTCATCCCTGCACTGAAGCTCTCATGAGCCCTGGGCTCTGGGCAAGGCCCAAGGGTGGCCCCACCTTTCTGTTTGGGCAGGCTGGTCCTGCAGGAGGGAGAGGGGACCCGGTTGCCCTTGGGCCAAGCTGCTGAGCAACCTCCCTGGAGGCCCTGCTTCCATCCTGCCTCCTTTTCTGAGACCTGGGCAGAACTAGAAAAGCTCCTCTCTACAAGAGGATAGCAGCGTCCTCTACTCCGACTCAAGGGGTCTTGGGCCCTGCCCAAGGCAGCCAAAGGCCTGGGCCAGCTGTCCTGACAAGCAAAGGCAGGTGCAGAGAAGGCAAGCCAGGGGCCGGCATACACACTCCCCTCTGGGGTGTTTGGCTGCTGGCCAGGCCCGAGGGAGGCTGAACTCTACCCCAGGAGCAAGGATCACCACAGTCCACACCTGAGAATGAGGGGGAACAAGGCAGGACCAGCAGGGATTGGTGTTAAAGTGCTCAAACTGGAGAGATCCCCAAGGTAGCTCAAAAGGAGGATACTCCAGATGCCTCGTTCTTGCCCTAGCAGTAATACTGACACATGGGGTACAATGAGTTGACTTCACAGGCAACTGGTCATCAGATTACAAACTGTCATCTGTAAAGACCATTCTTGTGGACCATAAACAGGTGGCAGGCAGGATTCTGGCCCACAGGCAGTAGTCTGCTGTTCCTTGTTCAGCAAGCAGTGACCTTGCATCGTCTCCCTCAGGAGAGGCCTTGGCAGTCTCCACAGAGTATCTGCTAGCAAGGAGGAGGGTGTCACTGCTGCTGGCTGAGACTTTAGGGTCACCTAGCACGTTTTCCCCGCATGTTCCCATCCCAGCTTTTTGGAACCTGCCCCCTATCTACACTCTAAACTTAGCAACAAAAAACCCAAACCTGTTGCCATCTTAACACATGGAGTTGCCTACTTGTGGCAACTCTCTGATCTTTTACTGTTCTAATCTGTTGTAATCTTTACGGCAGATTGCTAGGCTTTTCTTCCACCCTTGCAGGGTGGGCTTTACGTTAGTAGCAGAGTGCTGTGTGTGCCACCCAGGCATAGTTAGCATCCGACCTCAGGTCTGACTTGCATGTGAAGTCTAGCATGCAGTATTGCAGATGCTCCATCTGGGTGCTTCCCTATGGTGTAGTGTTGCCCGGGGCTCAGAGCAAGGTGGGTCTGTTGGGTGTGCAGACTCTGTAACATGGCCTAGGACACAAGATGTGGTCCCTGCCTCCCCTATTTCTTTAGAACTCCCTCATGCTACTCCATCCTCCAGAGCTCTGTTGTCTCTACATTCCTGGGCAATGCTGAGGCTGAATGAACATCGTGGAGGGAGGAACAATGGCAGGTAAGCTGGGCCAACCAAACCTGAAGTTGCCAGAAAAGGACGGAGCAAGACTCTCGTCTACCTGTATATATTTAATGTGTCCTGTTTGAGCACCTGATAGCAACAAACTGACAAACCCAGCTTTGTCTTGTTGCCATGGTTATTCTTAGGACTGTGTCATGGAGTCAGGCGCTGTGCTGGGTGTTGCAAGAGGACAATTCAGCAGATGTCCTTGAGGCCCTGCTGCAGCAGGGACTGGTGTCCCTCCTGCTCTGGCCTTGAGGCAATGGAGCAGGTTAATTACTTCCACCGAGCACAATTTCAAGATTGTAATCACGCTGTGCCAGCTGTAAACTGTGTGTACCCTTAAATTAATAATCCTCTATGCACAATGAAACCAATGTTACATACCCCATAATAGAGGTTTCTTAGGGTATATTTCAATTGCTGTTCCTTCAACATGGCCTTAAGAGGCCATTTTCTCTGTAAATGAACAAGAACCCATCTCCTGCAAATAAAGATGCCAGGTAGGCAAGATTCTTAAACTGGTGAAATTTGGGTATCTAGGTTATATTACACGGCTAATTAAAGATAAGCAGGAAAATAAAGTTGAGGGAAATTATCAACAGTATACACCCACTCCTCACTTATCAACATGGTTAATGTCAAAGACCAGATCATTATGTGAAAATGGAGGACCACATCAGATTACAAAATGGAGGATGCCTACATCATTACACAGCTATCAAACCACTGAGAATTGTGGCCCAATCCAGTTGACACATAACCATCACAGCCAGCATCAGTGGCCTCACACCTCAGTGTTCCTCTGCCAGGCATACATCACTAATGTGTAAACTAACCAGAGTTTTTTTAGTATCATAAATGTGAAATGTCAAAATAGTTGGTAAGTGAGGAGTAGGTATATAACAAAGTCATCCTTTTTGCATAGGATCTTTTAAAAAACAAGCTCCATTTACCTTTTAAAATCTTGTGTTATACATACAAGATGAAGTTAAGTTATGGTTAAGATGCTGCATGCAGAGCTGCCTGGAACTTAGACACTGCTTTCCACACCAAGGTGGATGGCAACTTTTTAGAAGCAATTTGTTTCCTATAGAAATAACTGTAGGTATGAGAAAAAATCCACACCTTTTATATAAAATAATAATTGTGGTTAAATGACCTCACAACACATGTAGCACTTAAAACTACAGTTATGTACGATGAATGGGACTACAGCATAAAAGGGAATCAAAAGATACCACAAAAAAATGTAGTTTGTGAAGAACATGCAGCAAACAAGTCACAAAGGGTGGGACTGTGTGCATTTTTATACTTCCCAGTATGTGTATTTCTATCACCATTTCCAGTCACATTTAATGTTTTTATTTAACTTTTATTTTAGCCTCATTCTGAAAATATAAAGGAAAACAGATTAGATGTGCTAAATTATTTAATTCACACTAAAATACATTAGCATTAAGATGTTATCTCCAACCACCCAGTCATTTTGCTACCTTTTGGTGAGCAGATAGTCTGTGCCAGTCATTGTGAAAAAGTCTTTATTTTAAGAAAAAAATTTAGTTAACAAGTTTCACTTAGCAAAATACACCCAAAAGGAAATCACAGTACAAAGAAAGGTTTAAGTCAAGGCCTCACCAATTCCTACAGTATTAGTATTGTGTCTCAATTTTCAAAATTAACTTTTTAAAAGCTTAAAACTTAACCTAAGAGATTTTAAATGAAAACAAACTAGAATTGAACAAACATGAGAAATGTTTCTCTTTGGATTAAGGATCTAGCACCTCTGAGTTTTCCACAAAATCATGTCTCCCAAATGTGTTTACGGTAATGTGGTGCAGATCCACATTTAACATACTTCAAACTACTTTAACTCAGACATCACTCTGAAGTATACTACCAAAATGTTAATTGAGAAAAGCTGAAAATAGTTTCTTATAGTTTACTCAATATCTTTATCACATGCTAGAAGAAACTTTGCATGAGAAAACACTGAAGAGGTAATTTTTTTAATCCAGATTTCACAAACTCATGGTGCAAAATGGGTCCCACAGCTTCCTCTATGTAATAACTGCTCTCCACTGCTTGTTGGCTGCCTGTGAAAATTTGATTGAAGTAACTCAAAATATTTCTATGAAACTAGTCATATCCACCCATGCTGTTCTGCTGACCGCTGTAGCCAGCCCCGTAACAGCTGCTCACCGACTGGCTGTCGAGGCCAGTGTAAGTGGACTGGGTCGACACCCCCATGCCCTGAATCATCTGGCTACTGTAAGCCCCATTGCTGGCCCCTGTAGTTGAATTCAAGAAGAGCTCTATGTATCTGTGCTGCATGTTGGCTCTGTCTTTCGACATTGCGGCCACAGCTTCTTCATGAGTGGCAAACTCGACATCCGCTTCACCGGTCACTCTTCCATCAGGGCCAATCTCGATGTGCACTCTCACGGGGTTGAGTGGAGAGAAGAAGTTATAAATGTCATTCTCGGTCGCTTTGTACGGTAGACCCCTCATGTGGACACAGTGTCCAGTCGTGCTCTGGACAGCGAACTCACTGTCTCCGTATCTGTGGTCATACATTCCGGACAGGCAGTAACTGAGATCTCTTCCGAACAGATCGGTGGTGAAGCCATAGCTGTCGCTGAGGCCACTGTACTCCTCATAGCCCCCATAGCCTGTGCTATAGGCCCCAGACCTCATCCTGTCAAAGCCTGCTTGTTTGACAATGCCAATATATCTCCGTGCAGTGCCAGGCCGATCATAGGGCCCTGGCCGCTGCACGGACATGAACTTCAGAGGGGGATCAGAATATGATCTCACTTCCTCCTGACTGCTCTTGAACACTTCAATATACCTATGCCCTATTCTTTCCTTATGCTTCCCTAGAGCCTTCTCAGCTAATTCCTGTGAGGCAAACTGCACAAAGGCTTCCCCTGTAATCTTGCCCTCGGGGTCCACTGGCAAAGTGATCCCATTCGGCATGATTTCCAACCCTGAGAAGAACTGAACAATTTCTTCCTTTGTGCATCCAAATGGGAGTCCTCGAAGGCGCACAAAGCCGTCGTTGGCAGTGTCGGCACTGTTTGGACCGCTGTGCTTCAACACCCAATCCATTTCGGTTCTGTGAGACTTAAATACCTCAATATAGCGGTGCCCCATGCTTTCTCTGTCTTTCTTCAGGGCCATTTTTACATCATCTTCTGATTCAAGTTCAACAAAAGCCTCACCACTCTGTCTACCTTCTCTGGTGTAGATGAAATGAACACCTGCAACGCCATCACGAATTTTGCATTCAGAGAGGAAATTCTGCACATCCTCAATAGAGCAAGACCACGGCAAGCCGCGGAGCTTGACCACAAATCCTTCACCTCCCTCAGGACCCAGCATCATGGAGACTGGACAGGTCAGGTGTCAAATCGGCTTAGTGTGCAGCTTTTTGTGGCTGAAAAGAAAGCAAAAGCTACCTTATATAATTTTTTCATTTAACATTTATAACAAAAATATGCAGCATTGTTTTTCCACATTACAGATGAGTAAGGTTAAGAATGAATGAAATTTGAAGACCCTAAGAAATGCACCAAATACATCTGAGGGCTGAGGTTCAACTGCAGGTCTCTCCAAGCATCTCATAATATTACTACAGAGACACTGACGAGCCACTTCTGAGAAATCAGTCATTGAAAACTCTCTGGAGCGCAGTTCTACTGATACACATGGGATCAGCATGAGTTGGAATCCACTTGATGGCAACTAGCTTTTTTTTTTTTTTTTAAATCAATAAAGTAAAAGGCAGAAGGCTATGTGTAAAGTCGGAGCCCTGAACATACAGGAACCTATTAGTCAGGTTAGAACAAGGGCATTTTGCTGTTAGATTTATATTCACTCCAGGCACTTGTCACGAGGAAGTTTACAATTTACAAGAGCTCTCTATGCAATTCTTCCTTAACTACACCCTTATATTTAACCAATTTGTTTGCCTGTGGTAGGATACTACATAAATACAATTAATTATAAACTCAGCAGACTATTTTTAAACCACAATATAGAAAAACAACACCTTCTTTGACACCAGGATAAACCAGCATTAGTGTTCTCAGCAGCAGCAATGCTGCAAGGATGCAAAATAGCTACGACTTCCAGAGTCTAAGGAACTAGCACTTTATTCCTAAATTGTCAACTCAGATATTACCCAGCAAATGCAAGCCCATACTGAAAACGTATGCAGGTAAGTTCACCAGCAGGGTACTGGTTATACACTACAAATAAATGCCCAGAAGCCAAACTATACGCTGTACAGGGTCATAGGTAAATAAAACATAAAGCACATTACAACTGTTGCCCATGATTCAGGGAGAGGGAACCAGGAAAAAAGGAAATCAATAACTATCTAAATATACCAAGAGAGGCAAGAGGTGGCCCTTCCCAACAGTCTTATGAAGTTAGAGTGTGACACCTGGCACCTTAGTCCAAACTTCAAGAGAAAATAAGGTGACATGCATGTGTAAGCATAGTCAGGGTAACCATCCTAAGGGCTGTACTAAATGCCTTAGCTGCACACAGCCAGGCACAATGGTGCCTCTAAGGCAGGGTTTCTCAAATTCATGACTACTGACCAGGTAGGTAGGTAGGTGTGCGTGTGTGGGTGGGGGTGGGGGGGATGATGGGAGGGCTGTCCTGTGCACTAGAGGATGTTTAGCAGCATCCCTGGCCCATTCTACCCACTAGGTGTCAGTAGCACCCCAAGTCGTGAAAAACAAAGACATCTCCAGACATACTGCCAGACGTCCCCTGGGAGGGAGGCAACACTGTCCCCGACTGGGAAACACTACTGTAAAAATCAGGGTCACCCACCTTAAAAATAGGCCCCCCAATACTGTCTACATAACTCCCCGTTCTCCCCAAAGCCCTTTCAAGATGTTTCTGGCAACCTCATATAGTCTCCTCCCCTCACTATCCGCTGATCTTATCCTCCATTTCAAAGAGTTAACAGGAACCACATGAAAGAACTGCCACAAAGTAAGTTTATAAACAAGGAGCTGCCTCTCCTTACAGATCACTTCATTATCTACAGCTCTGCTACAATGCCACCCACCCTCTTCAATCTCTCTACTGAAGGTTTTTTGGGCAATTAAATTACATTCAGTTGTATCCAATCTTATATCTTTCCCGATGCCAACTTTGCCTTCAGCTACTGCCCTATTTGGATTCCCCAGTAAAATCTCTTCATAATCCCTTCTGTCTCCTTCACACCCCACGTTCCCATCATTTAATGAGCATGATCTTTCTCTGCTCCATGGCAAAAAAAGTGTTTTCTTCACTTGTTTTGTTCACTCAGCAGAGTTTAACCATTCCCTCCTGAAGCCCTCTATCCCCTTCGCTTCTAGGATACCACATTGTTTTGGTTTTCCTTTTGTTTAGACACTCTTCTCCAGTCTCCTTCTACAAGTCCTGCTGTAGGGAATTATCAGGCTTGGGTCCAGCCCTTCTCTTCTATGTGGCCTCAAATGACCCCAGCCTTAGGCTCCCAAGCCCCAAATGGGTATACTCTACAGCTCCCTCATCCGTCCCATACGTGACCTCACTGTTTTCCTCTGATACTGTGCTCTCACCCTGCACAGTTGGCCTTATTACCTATTATCCAGGAGGCTGCAGAAGGAAACTGTGAAGTAATCCTTGAACCCTCTCCCCAGACTGCAAATCCTATCAATTCAGTGTTCTCTTGGGCACTCCCATTCTCCAGCCCTGACCCCACACATCCCTAAATCCTATTCAATCTCACAGCTCTGTAACTCAGATCGTAACTCAACATTCTTCTGTTAATAAAAGAACCACCAAATTGCCGACTTTTCTTTCTACATTTCTCTCTTATCCTTTCATTTCTTTCTAATTCCAGTACCAACAGCCTATCCCCCTGGCTATCCTTATCTCCAATTATGGCTAACACTCACTGGCCTAACTTCCCACTGGCCTCAGGATCTCTGCCCCCTCAGACAAATGTGGCTCTCAACTGCTAATTGTCTATCCAAACAAAATGCCACCCAAGCTTCCACACTTTGTCTAGATAAATGTTGCTAACTTTTAAGGTCTCAACGCAGATACACCATTTCCAAAAGGTCTTCCCAGTCTGTAAATTAAGTCTTGGGATTCTGCACTCCCAGTGCACACTGCTGTGATCTGTTTAAAGGTGCCTTCCAAATGGAATCACGCACATACTGGGGATAGAAGTTATTCTGTCTGTTTTGTTGGCCACTGCGGCCCTTAACCCCCGGCACAGGCCAGCTGAGACTACGTGGAGTCAACATCCCCCCAGCCCCCCAAGAAAGAGGCAGCCTAATCAGGCTGAGAAAATTATTAAAAAAAAAAAGTTTCATATTAGAGTTACTTAAAACACCCCTAATAATGCCTGCTAACAATACCATACAGATTATATGTTTTCAGAAAATGTTTTATAAAAAAGGAAACATTCTTTTCAGAAACAAGTATCTGCACTTAAAACATTTACTGTTTATTTTTACTCCAGAATTAGTTGCTTCCTTCCTTTTCTCTGGGGAAGTCTTAAGACTTAATTATATACTCTCCTAAACTTTTGATGGAATTCAAACCTAATTTTTGGTGCTAACAATGCATAATCTTTCATTTTTGCCCTTGGATCCTCTGGATTTGGATTCTTCTGGGGGACTCAGTTTTAGCTAATGTCCCAAGTAGTATAAGTTAAAAAGAGAGCTGTTCACACTGGATTTAAAAAAAAAAGGTACCACTGAGTCTATTCAGACTAATGGCAACCCCATGTGTTGTGACAAAAAAAAATATCTACCTCAGGTTCCTAAGAAAATTTCTTTTTACTGAAACCTAACAAACCAAATATAAATGAGAAATTACTTTAAAAACAAAAAGAAAAAACTCACCTTTAAAGACAACAGTGGATGCTGACAGTTGAGATGTTCTGGCAGTTACCAACTGTCCTTTAAAAAAAAAAAAAGAAAAAAAAGTTGGTGTCAGACATCGGGCAGAGCAGGTCCAAGCTAGAGCTCTTCCAAGCAGAGTCTGGGCAAGGCTGCAGGGGCCCTTTATGGCTGATGGGCTGACAAGTCTCGGCCCTAATGGCGTTTACAAACTTTACCTTTTCATAGGATAATACAGAGGATAACAGAAGGGAACCACCCATTTGCCTTGATGAGACTTAAATTCTTCCGTTTTTATAAAGTGCAGTGAAGAAATTCAAATAGTAAGGTGGGAGGAGCTCCATCAAGTTGATCTCTTGTAGAAGCAGCTTTGGATAACAGCCAAGAGCTTAACCACTGCACCACCAAGGCTCCTATTTTTTTTTAAAGAAGCCCTGGTGGCACAGTGTTTAAGCGCTCAGCTGCTAACCAAAAGATTGGTGGTTCGAACACACCCTCCTGAGAAAGTTGTGGCAGTCTGCCACTGTAAAGATTTATACAGCCTTGGAAACCGTGTAAGTAACTAACTCTGCTTTGTCCTGTAGGGTCGCTATGAGTTGAAGAGATTCGATGGCACTGGGTTTGTGTTTTTTTGGTGAGGGTCACTAGGGCAAATGTTTCTGCTAGAAATTGTTCAACTTGATTTATAATTTACAAGAATCTCTCTGGGAACAAGTGTGGAGATCCTCAAAAATGTTCCTAGTTTAATTTGGTAATTTCACTTCTTGTGATCTGTATTTGATCTGACATTGTATTGATCTTTTAATTAACTGAGGGAGAATGGGAGGAATGTTGACAAACGCTTTTCAACAGGAAAAACTATCATCCCTATCATCAAAAACTGTGACACCTCAAAAGACGAGGCTATGTGTTTAAATCTGAGGATTACTTTTGAGGAGACCTAAATTACCTTCATATAATTTTGGAAACAGGCTTGAGAAAGTCAGTTTATTTCACTGAGCCTTAGGCTCCTTTGTCTTAAAATAGAGACCATTATACCTGCCTTGTCTTATAAGCTTCCTATGAGTACACACAGGTATGCTATTTGGGGAAAAACTAAACTGGAAAGAATCAGTTATTAGGAACCTATGAAGAAATGGTATCTCAAATACTCTGAAAACTGGAAAGAATCAGTTATTAGGAACCTATGAAGAAATGGTATCTCAAATACTCTGAACTGGTTTTTCAGGATGTTCAACCTCCCTCCTCCTCCAGAAAAGTGGAAATTCTAAAGAGCAGAACCCAGTCATTTTAACTGGATCTGACCCACTTCTGCCTTTTTTTTACCCTAGCTCTTTCGTGTGGATCAAAAAACAGCATGTGCACCACCGAAGAAGGGACAGACAGTCTGACCAGACCACTGAAGCCCAATGTGCACTCGGACATTCCCAGGTAAATCATGTTACATTCAAGCCTTGATCTAGAGCACCAGTTCCCATTCCTAGCAGTGAGGGTGCTATCACTGGGCGAGTGTTGAAAATACCAATCCTGGGTCTGCACCCAGGCATTCTGATTTATCTGGTATGGGGTGCAGCCGGGCGGCTTTTTTAAAAAGCCCCCAGGTGACTAGACCATGCTGAATGTATGTACAGGTCACTTAGGGATCTTGTTAAAATGTAGAGCCTAACACAACAGATGTGAGTTGAGGCGGAGATTCTGCCTCTCACAGGCTCCCCCAGATGCAGACTCAGGTGCTCCTTACCACTCTACCGTAGTTAAGGACAAGTTTTCCATTTGGCTTCAGGTAGAAGCAAGATAAACAGGGTGTGCCCCTCACTACTAAAACCAATTAGGTTATCAGCTGAATAAACTGAGTAGTTTAAACTCTGCTTTGTTCAGGGACAGAAAGGAGCCGGCCAGGGCAAGGGGACCTTGCCCTCAACAATGCTTGCCTTCACCCTCCTTTGCACCTCTTTGTGTTCCAGTGAGTCTGGTGGAGTGTCTTCAATGTAAGCATTCCCGCCCTTCTGTTTTGTAAATGAGGTTTAACTTGCAGACAGCTGGGAGCAAGTATGGCCAGGTTGTCTTAATTACTCAGAAAGTAAAATCATAATTCAGGGGCGACACTGCCTCAGGTTCAAGCTATTGACTTTTTTTAAGACTTACCAATGAGAGGAGGACTGACTTCTCCAGCAAGTGAGGTTTAGCGCCAGAGGGCCGCGAAGTCCACCCAAAGCTTAGAAACGCAGAGGTCTCCGGGAGAAGTCGTGGGACATCTTTTGTTCTTAACCTGAAATTGCAATTTAACTGGCAATACATACATGCTTGACATGAGTTTCTAAAACGCCCTCTCACGTTCGCGTTCTAGCGGGAGTTCAGTTGGAAAATCCCCGGGCGCCACGACACCCGGAGACAATAAAAGGTTTCCCTCAGCCTCCACCAGGCGACCAGGCGACACCCCTAGCCTGGGACCCAGGGCAACCACAGCCCAGGGTCTGGGCGGGGTGAGATGGAGGGTTCCAGGGGGAGGGGCTTCCCGGAACTGGGGGAGGGGTACCGGAGTGGGGCCAGCGGCTCCCTACGATCAGCACCCGGCCCCACCCGGCCCCAGACCGGCCCCAGACCGAGGAGGGGCGGCCTCGCTTCGGGCTGGGTCCTGGAAGAAATGCGTGATTCTGAGGCTGACGAGCCTGGCAGTGGGGGTCACGGTCTGTAAAGGACGTACCACCAACAGGGCCTGCCAAGATGCCACTTTGGAAAAAACATCCCTGCAGGTGAAATCCGTGCAGGTGAAGTCTGCGGTGAATGCAGGAAGTGGAAGAAATCCCACAACACAGCAGGAAAAAAAAAGCAACAAGACAGCTCTTACGTGAGTTTTCAGAATAAGGGAGCAACCTGGGAAAGAAGTCCAGGAGTATCAGCAATGAGGAGGAGGGAGGCCAGTATTTGTATTTGACAAATAGAAGGATAAACTATAAATTAAAAAAGGCAGGGAGATTTTACAGTGGAAAACAGGTACTATTTCTATATACTTCTTTCACAGACTTGACTGCAGGCTCATGGAATTTTGAAGAACATAATCCCTAAAATTTATACACAATACACAACTATAAAGCAATTGTGGTAATCTGAGCAATGACTATCTTGAAATGTTAAGTAATTGTTATTTTCTTTCAAAAGTCATTAGAGATTACAAAAATATTTACAGATTAGATAATTTGATGACTTGAATCTCAAAATAATTGGAGTGGGTTGAAGTACAGATGAAACAAAAACAGCTGTTAATTGACACTGCCTCAGATGTACATGGAGATTATACTTCTCTATTTTTGTATGTTTGACATTTTTAATAAAAGGTATTTTTAAAAGAAAAAATACTCTTAGAAATTTACTTACTAGAGGTAACTACTAAACTATAGAACCATCAGGAAAAGTATATAAGTGGTAATATGGTCATGTAAGCAGCATAACAAGACTGGGGAATTCTACAAGCTCCTATCCCCGTCAGTAAAAATGGCTCCAAGGAAAAAGTATCAGGTGGCACTTATAGATAAAATTATCCGTAATTGTTACAGATGGATGATAGGTTACTTCTGAATTTGTTTGAAATACTCAATACAAATGTTACTCCAAAACATAATCAGCCCTGATTATCATCTTCTGAGGATGAGAATTCTCAGAGTATTCAAATTCTGGCCATCTTAAGGAAAGTGAAAAACAGGCACTAAAAACTTACACATTCAAGACAAACCAAACCAGTCGCCATTGAGTCGATTCTGACTCACAGCGACCATACAGGACAGAGTAGAAATGCCCCATAGGGTTTGCAAGGAGAGGCTGATAAATTTGAACCGCCCACCTTTTGGTTAGCAGCCAAGTTTCTTAACCGCTGCGCCACCTGGGCTCCCATTCAAGACAAGTCAGACAATATTCTGGAGAAATATTAAGTCACAATTTTTTTTGACAGGAAGAGCATCCGCTACAGAAATGGGTGCCTTGACTGTTTCATAGCAACTTTTACTTCACTTAAAATCTTCTTCAGAAACATGGTCTTGGTAATTTATATGACCAGCATGCATTTTATTTTATTTCAATGTTATTTGTTGTACTTGAGTCGTTTTACGTTTGCCTGTGTAGCTAAACTGATTTCTACCACTACCAGGGAGAGTGTGAATTATTGACCGGTTAACAGATGGCTCCTGCCTGTTGAGGGAACGGCATGTGCAGAAGTCTTGAGCCTGTCAGTGCTCCAGGAGCCCAGTCTGGCTGAAACAGAAAACTGCAGCAAGGTTTGACATCAGTTGAAAAGGAAAACAGAGGAAGAGCATCCATGGCCTTGAAGGCCTGGTAGGGTATTTTGGACTTTATTGTAAGGCCGATGTGAAGTCACTCAGTTTGTTTCAAAATGTGATGTGGTATAATTTGAGTTTTGTTTTTTAATAGGGCAGTCTAGCTGCTATCTGGAAAACGAATGGTGGGAACAGATGGAATGGAGACAAGACAGATTCAGGAAGAACTGATGATACCCTGCAATAGGAAGACTGTGGTGGGAACTGGAGAATGTGAAAGGATTTGAGTAATGTGGATAGATAAAATTTATGAAACTTGGGAAATTACTTCATTCACCAAACAATATAGTAGATGCAGGCACTATACCACGGGCTGGACTTAAAACGCTAGGAAAGACAGGCATTCCTGCCTTCGTGGTTTCAGTGGACTAGAAAATTAAATGAACAAACTAATGTATGATGGCAAATTTCAATATGTGCCATAAACAAAAAAACAGAAAATGGGGACTAACTTAGACTGGGGTCTGAGGAATACAGACTAGAAGCATAAGGTGGGGGTGGGAATTGTTGGGGGTGGTTGAGTAGGGGACTAGGATGGTCACTGAAAGTGACAGTTCCATGTAGAGAGAACAGGAAGTCTTTTTGTTGCCTGGTAAATAGCAGTGGTTTTAAAATAAAAGTGAAAGCCTGGTTTGTTTGTTTTCTCCCTTTGTTCATGACCTATGTATTCCACCTAGATTCTTGTTCAAAAATTTTTTTTTTTAATGTAGCCCTTTTCCAGGATATGTTTTGGTCTTGCTTGTTTTGTACTAATATTTTTATTTGGTTATGAATCCTTTATGTTCAGCTCTTATTAAATTCATGAAAGAGAACTTTGCGTATTGTTTTTGCTATTCCTGTCTTCTCTGCTTGAGAAACACGAATGGGTCTCAGGAGGAAGCAATTCCCAATCATGGGAAGGTATCTGAGCGGAGCTTAGACCTCTATTATGAATGTTTTCCTGTTCTACTGGGAACTGCATTGGAAATTGGATTTAAAAAGTCCTCAAAAAGTCTCTTCCAACTGAGCAATTTTATGAAGTCCCCAATCCAGTGGCTCTTAAACATTTCTGGCTATCACAGACTCGTTTGAGAATACGAAGCCAAGTGTGGACCAACTTCATAAAATTTTTTTTTTTTAAATTGCAGCAACACACACAATTGTTATCTAAGTTTTGAAGGGGGTTCATGGACCTTTCACTTGAAACCTCTGACCCAATGTGTACAGCATGCCAACTACAACACACAGGAGCTACCTCAGAGCTATTAAGGAGAGAAAAGCTGTAGATGGATGATTAAATACATTATTAACATTTAAATGTTTATTGATATTACTACATTTTTTATCCACCTAAGGGGATATCTCACCCTCTGTAAGTAACAGGAAAGCTGTTTTCCACTATCTTTTAACTATTAGGCCCTTTAGTTTACTTACTGACGCTAAATCTGGGGAAATAATGCACTATTTTCCTCAGTGTCCCCTTTCTCAAAAGCTTTAGTAATAAAAAGCAAAAAGTATAAATTATATGCTGATTTCAGTATAATGCTTCTATTGAAATCAGCATAAAGGACAATTTTTTTATCCAACACAACAAGCCACTGTTGCTCTGTATTATTCCATTTTGCAGATGACTAAAAGATCAAGACATCTAAGGTTACAATGGAGAACAGTAACAAAAAATAAATTATCAGGTGAAGTTTATTTAAAATTTTCATAAAAAGAAACACTGTTAGATAAAATCTGTTCTCTTCAACTGAGGGAAAAATTTCATCATCCAGACTAATTGGTGGCTTTCTCTCCCCTCTCCCCATAGTAGGAAACAACATCCCAGTCTAGCTAAGAAATAAGGGTAGGGATTCTGTCAACTTTCCTGTAATTTGTCTCCTGAGCAAGCAGCTCCTGGGTAGATGAAGAGTCAGATCCTGGAGCTGGGTGGCTGGTCTCAGAAGGCCTGTGGGTTACACTCCATGGTCTCAAGGGAGACCTTTGCCACTACACAGTCACAGCCCCCTTAGGAAGGTATGTCCCTCAGGAGACCTAGGAGCAGTGGGGCTTCCTCCAGGTGTCTTCTATGGAGGCCTGACACCCTGCCAAGTCCTATGTAGCTGGCTACAGGGGCCAAGTAGTGAAGCTCCTGCTCAATGTTCAATGCTCAGGGGACTACAGCATTTTGATCTGGAGGGAAGTGGAGAACAGAACCAGGAGGAGGAAAGGAAAATCATGTTCATGAGAGGGGCCTCAACATCTAGAGAGAATACCACACATCATACTTAGAACAGCAGGCAGTTTTCAGGGAACAAGAATTGCTAAGCAAAACCATAAATATTTTAAAAGTTTAAAAAAAAAAAAAAAAAACACTTCAGGTATTCAGTTACAGAATAAAAAACTTTGATGCTAATAAGTTTTGAATTTGTAAGTCAGTAATTAATTGAAAAGGGAATGGCCTGAAAATCAAATGGAAGAAATATCTCAAAAGGGGGGGGGGGACGACGACACACACAATAAAGAAACAAAACAGACATAAGATTTAAAGAACATTAACACAGAGACAGCAGGAGAAATGACATGTGAATAACAGGAATTCCAGAAAGAGAAAGGGAGGCAAGAGAACAGATAAGGAAATTTTGCTGGCCTAAGATAAGCACCATTCTGTAGTTCCGAACAGGATATTTAAAAAAGATACAACCCTAACCATAAGTTGGAAAAATTCCTACATTTAAAGAATAGAGAAAAACTGCCTTGGGAAAAGAACAAGTTATGTACAAAGAATACAAATGTAGAATGGCATCAGACAGCTGCTTTGAAACACTGGAAGATCTAGAAATAGCATCTATAGCTACTGACAGAAATACACGTTTAAGTTGAAAGAATTTATACACAGTCCAGACGTAAATCACTTGTCAGAAAGAAACGTTCACAAATATGCAAGAATTCCACTACGTGTTTACCACTGGCATTTTTTAGCCAAAAAAAAAAAAAGGACAAGCTGATCCAAAAATTCATATGGAATTGCAAGGGAACCAAAATAACCGAAACAATCTTGAAGAAGAACAAAGGAGGACTCACAAATTCCCAATTTCAAAATCTACTACAAAGGTACCGTAACTAAGACTGCGTGGTATTGGCGAAGGAATAGACATACAGATGAATGGAATATAACTGAATGTCCAGAAATAAACCCTTACGTTTACACCCACTTGATTTTTGACAAGGATGTCAAGACAATTTCAGTAGGTTAAGATTATTCTTTTCAACAAATGGTGCTGGGACATGTAAAAGGGGAAAAAACATGGACATCTCCCTCATACCATATACACAAATTAACTCAAAATGAATCAAAGACCTAAATGTAAGAGCTAAAACTATAAAACTCTTAAGAAAAAACATAGGTGTAAATCCAAGGTGTGACTCTGGATTATAGTTTCTTAGATATGACACCAAAAGCACAAGCCAATAAAAGAAAAGATAAACTGGACTTCATTAAAACTTAAAATTTTTGTGCTTCAAAGGACACTATCCAGAAAGTAAGGAAACAACCAACAGAATGGGAGAAAATACTTGCAAATTATGTATCTGATAAGGGACTAGTGTCCAGGATATATAGTCTTATAACTCAACAATGAAAAAACAAACCACCCGATTAAAAATTGGACAAAGGATATGAATACACATTTCTTCCAAAAAAAAAAAAAATAACACAAATGGCCATTAAAAACAAAAAAAAAAAAGATGCTCAATATAATTAGTCACCAGGAAATGCAAATAAAATCCATGAGATACCACTTCACACCCATTAGGATAACCATAAAAAGACAACCTATAAAAGGTGTTGGCAAAGTTGCGGAAAACTGGAACCCTCATCTCATACACTGCTTGTGGGATGTAAAATGGTGCAGCAGTCTGTGAAAAAGAGTTAGGCAAATGTAACCAATGTCACGGAAAAAGTTGTATAACCCTAGTGGAATGTGTTAAATAGGAACCTAACTTGCTCTGTAAACTTTCACCCAAAACACACAAAAAACAGCTGAGCAGTTTCTCAAAAAGTTAAATATAAAATTACCATACAGGACTTAGCAATCCCACTCTTAATTTATACCCAAGAGAAGTGAAAACATTAAGTTCACACAAAAACTTGTACACAAATGTTTATAGCAACATTATAAGACAAAAAGAAGAAATGTCCATCAACTGATGACTCTCCACCAACTGAGAAATGGCTAAACAAAATGTGGCATGTCCATACAATGAAATATTACTCAGTGATAAAAAGGAATCAAGCACTGATACATGCTACATGCATGAACCTTGAAAGCACCATTATCCAAATTTTGGATCTAAGCAATGATTACCAATGACTTAAACAAAAAAGAGAGAGAACACCAATTGTCACGTGCCTCTGACAGCACTGCCGATGGTAATTTTCCAAAAAATCTCATGTAATCAGAATAGCCAGTTTAAAAGGAAATACAAAAAACAGATTCAAACAGCACCATGGAGATGCAATCGGAAAAACCCAGTGTGGGGAACTCAGCATGACAATCTGATTTGTTTGGCAAAGTACAAGAAAAACACATTTCAAGAAAACAGAACCTCTAAATCATCACTATAATACACTCTAAACCCACTGCGGTCGAGTTGATTCTGACTCATAACACCCTACACACTTGAAATATGGTTGATATAAATATGATTTTAAAATTATATGTTGTAATATTTTAGACATATTAGGTTAAATCATTGTTAAGTGATATGCTTCTTTTCACTACTAGAAAATGGAAAATATGTGGTGCTATTGAGATGGCGTATATTTTCACCATAAATTATATGTGGCTCGCATTATATTTCTTCTGGACAGTGCTGCTCTGGATTAAAAATTATCTACCAAAAACAGTGTGACTTTGTTTGGATCTCAATTCAAATAAACCACCCATATAAAAATATTACACAGTGACATCTGAACACTGGGTATTTGATGATATCAAAGAGTTACTGTTTTCTTTAGGTGTGATAATAATATTGTGGTTGTTTTTAAGAGTCCTTAGAAGTACAAGCTGAAATATTTACGAATAAAAATCTTAAAATGTAAAATAAGGCTAAGCCCTCATCTCTACCTGCCCCTCAAACAACCCCGGCTGAGGCAGCTCTTATAGGGGAAGGAAGCCCTGTTAGGCCAACCTGAGTCCTAGTCCCAAATGTGTCCCTGGGCAAATGACTTTTCTTCTCCCAGCCTCCGTTGTAAAAGCATACCTCGCTTACTGAGTGGTTATAAGTATGAAATTATAAAATGCGGTTAAACCTACAGCTCAGCGCCTGGGCCTAGTAAGGCTCAGTTAACGTGGTTCTAGAAAGACTACAGCGCCACAGCTCAGGTAATGGGGGGAGGGGTTGGCGCGATGTCACCGCCTCCGACGCAGAGGCCTCATCTCCACTAGGGGCAGCCACAGAGGACAGGCAAGACACTTAAGTCTCCTCCCGGCACCTACTCCGAGGGACTGGAGTCACTCTCCTCTCCTGCAGTCTTGAGGCTCTCCTTCACGGTTTGGCCACATTCGAGGGCAAATTCTCCTATTTACTCTTTCCCTTAAATCAGTTCAAAATTTTACTTGGATACTTCATGTTTAAAGGGAAGCTTTTTAACCCTACCCTTAAATATAAGAAAGTCACTTGCCAATTTAAAGTAACAAAAATTATTAAATGAGGAAAACAAATAAAAATAAAACGAGACCTTAACATAAAAACGATAACTATAATCAATTTATAAAAATGCATACAGGTATAAAAGATGCCCAATGCGACGGATGGACTTACTTAACGTCAGTAATAAAGCACTCTCACCCAAGACTGATTAAAATAAATTTACTCCTTATTCTGAAACGAAAAAAATCTTGTCTAAAGATGAGCACTGAAACCATCACTTTTCACTCACATATCCTAACGTATTTTTTGTCTAATTCAAGACCTCGAGATATTTTCATTCTTCCTAGAAACTCAGAAAGTTATCTTTTAAAAAACACGCCATGAAAGTAATAATTATACTAAGATCGGCAGCTTCGATGATTTTTTTGAATTAAACGGTCATTTGTAGCTTTCAGAACTCTCCCTGCGCCACCAGCTTCTGGCCTCGTTCAGGCCGAGCCAAGCCGGCGGTCCCACCTTGGTCGGCAACCACCCGCAGGCCCTCTCTTCGCCACTCAGTCTAAGGAGCAGGCAGGAGCCCCCCGAGTCCCCCAAGAAACTGTGAAAACCAGAAGAGCAAAACTCGCTAGTTCTCCTCATGCCGAATTAATCGCGTTACCTGCTGGGCGAGGAAGCCCCAGAAGTCACTCGGTGAAAGGGTTAGAAAAATGCGCGGCGAAGGGCGCCACGAGGGAGACAGGCGCCGATCTGCGCCCTGATCCCCTCCCCCACGAGACGGCGCCGCGCGGCCTCTTCCGGCGGGAGAGAGGCTCCGAGGGTGCAACTAGGCTCCTCCGCGCGGCTGCGCCGGGCCTGGGGTCCTTCAAGAGTTCCCTTTAAGCCACAGGGAGGGGCCTGCGGGCTTCCAAAAGGGGACAAGGAGCGAGGACTAGAGTCGGTCCGGTCCCGGAGCCTCTTCTCCGCGTGGCTCCAGGCCGCGGAAACCGCGCGTCCGCGAGCGGGCCTGGGAGCAGAGGTGCGGGGGCGGCCATCGCGGTGAATTCTCAACAGTTCCCTACTCTGTTATAGGAAATGGATTCGCAGGAGAGGGAGGTGCCATGCCCAGGATCACAGAGTCCGGGTCAGAAAAGACTACGTGCGGCCCGGGGTCGGCGGCTCTCCTGGAGGGGAGGGAGCGGGACAAGGAAACGGAAGTGGAGACGCTAGGAGACCGCTCTTCGGTGAATTCGGGCGGGAAGAGAGAACGAAAGTGTGCGAGCGGCTGGCAGCGTCCAAAAGTTTAGGGGCAGGAAGTAATCAGCAAAAAGTATACTCAGAGATTAAAAAGTAAAGGAAAAGCAAACAGCTGACTAAACACTCAGGAGAACTATATGGTCACGAGGCAAAGGACCATGACCAAAGATTCAAATCCGAAAAACAAAATGATACCTCCACGAACAGGCGAGAAACGCAAAAACGAAAGAGCTCACAGCGGGGCCAAAAAGAGAAAGCTCTGGAAAGAAAAGGCTCGAAGGACTGAAAATGGTTCCTCGGGGAGCGGAAAGGTGGGGAGGAGGGAGGAGCTACTGTTTTCCACAATTAACTTGTGTACTTTAACCCAAATGAATATACTGCTTTTATTTAAAAAAAAAAAAAAAAAACTCCCTTTCCGACTATCGCTCAGCAGCCTAGAAGTGTGGGCCTCTGCTACTCACCCTTCCAGAGTATGCTCCTCCACTCGTGGCCTGACGGACGTCTTCTGCACACTCCGCCTCCTCTCGGCAGCGGACTCAAGCCCTTCCCGCCGGGCCCACGGACTCCGCCTACCAATTGCTAAATCTCCCGTAGTCCCCACCCCTTGTTGGCTAGTCCCTGCCGCCCCGGTCCCCGGGTGTGCGCCCTTGACCTCAGACCCCGCCCCCCCATACCTAATCTCAGCTCCGCAGCCCCCGCGCCCTACTCTCCCAGTTCCCCGCCCCCGGGTGAGCTCCTTAACCTCAGAACCTCCACCTTGTCCCGCCCCAGGTCGCCCCTCACCTCGGGCTCCGAGACTCCACGCTCCCGCTCTTCACATCCGGCACTTTCCTCGTCCGCTTGAGCACCTAGAAGAGGGTGGAACGCGGTAAACTTGGCAGTTGTACCAAAGGCAGTTGAGGCTTGTTTACCATCACCATGGAAACCCCTGCCAGCGCGCCCGGACGGGCCCCCCTCAAGGGGCGGGGCTAAGCGCGCGGGCGGGCACGAGCTTACAACTCCCGCCGCGTCGTGCGCACCCGACGCTTCCGGGAGGCCCCGATCCTGTCCGCGTTTCAGGCCCCTGCTCGCCCTCACGACCTGGGCTCCTGAGAGGTAGCCCTGGAAGCCCGCGCCCCCACCCGGCTTCCAGCTGCCGGTGTGACCGCGGAATCGTCCCTCTCGCTGATCCCCACCTTCAGTTCCCCTAAGACGCGACGCAGTCCTGGTTCCAAGGCGGAGCCGGAAGAAGGAAAGGACCGCGACGGGGCGGGGCCTCCGCGGCGAGCGTCTAGGAGGCGGGGCCGCGAGGGCGCCATTGTGACGCTCCCGGAACGGAGCCGGCGATTGGCCGTCCTTGCGTGGGGCGGGGCTGAGGCCGGAGGAGAAGGACGACGCAGAGGCACTCTCGTCCAATGACCTAGATGATGCTCCTTGGCTGTGCCACCTCCTTCTTGGACCCGTCCCGCTCTCCGTCCGCGCGCGACCTGGGTTTAGCGGGCTATTCCGCCCGCGAGGACTCTTGGGAGCTGCGTGGGGGTAGGGCTGCCAGCGCGCCATTGTGACGCGCCCAGAGCGGAGCTAGGGATTGGCCGCCGGGGTCGAGGCCTCCGGGAAGCCAAGCGGTGAAGCAGTTGCCTGGAGCAGGGCCGTTGTGGGGCGAGGCGTAGCGGGGCAGGCCGAGGCGCTACTCAGGAGAGGAAAGTGGCCTACTGGTCACTTCTGAACCCCCGCAGATGCTGACTAGGTTATCCCCACTGAAGACCAAAACAAACGAGGCCAAAGGACCCCTACTCTAAACAGACGCATGAGAGAAGAAAATAAAGAGTTTTGCTGACAGGAAACAGAACACCAGAGGCGAAGTAAAGGCGTCTTTGAGTGCTAGGTCTTAAAGCGGGATTAGTCAGTTTGACAGACATTGCCCACGTGTCCTGTGACTCAGAATCACACAGCACCTGAACTCTGATGGACTGGGTAGTTAATGGCTACTCTGCCCGAGGCGGTGAAGCAGCTTTTCTTGATAGGTTCTAGTGCTAATAGTTATTACCGTTTTATTTTTGGAACTCCCTTCATAAAGGGACGATATAAGGTACTCATCGACAGGTTAAGCATATACTTTTTTAATTACCAGAAAAATTAAGGGAGTGCTTGAAATTGTGTCATATTATGAGTGGATGACCATAATGAAGAAGAGCGCAGTTTCAAAAGAAGCTGGCTCCAGGAAAAAAATAATGGAGAAAATGCAGGCGTTGTTAAAGGGGGTGCAGGTGTGAGGAAATTAAATAATTTGAGTATAATTACAGAAAGTCCTACAAAGAGTAGATAAACCCGTTGCTGTCAAGTGGATTCCAACTGGTAGTGATCCTATAGGACAGAGTAGAACTGCCCCCTAGGGTTTCCAAGGAGCGACTGGTGGATTCAAACTGCTGACCTTTTGGTTAGCAACCAAGCTCTTAACCACTGCGCCACCAGGGCTCCACAAAAATTAAATAGATATTCTTAATAAGAAACCCCAGAAAGACTGTCACAGCTCATGTTGCAGAAAGGTGCACTCTGGATCCCACAAAGAAACAGGTCTCTCAGTCTGGCTCATAAAGCCCTTCTCTGCCTCCCTTAACTTTAAACCACAGACCCATTGCCGTCGAGTCTATTCGGACTCAGAGTGACCCTATAGGACAGGGTAGAACTATCCCATAGGGTTTCCAACACTAATCTCTATGGAAGCAGACTGTCAACATCTTTCTCCCTTGGAGCAGCTGGTGGGTTTGAACCACCAACTTTTTAGTTAGCAGTTGAACACTTTAACCACGACACCACCAGGGCTGCTTCTACATTAACTTAATTTGGTCTTTATCCTTGGTTCCTGAGTGATAACTCTAAATCCTTGGAATTTCCTGAGTAATTGAAGAGCCATGGTGGCAAGTGGCTAAAGCCCTCACCTGCTGTCCAAAAGGTCGATGGTTTGAACCCACCAGCCACTCCTCAGGAGAAAGATGTGGCAGTCGGCTTCACTAAAGATTTACAGCCTTGGAAACCCTATGGGGCAGTTCTACTCTGTTATATGGTTGCTATGAGTCAGAATTGACTGGACTGCAGTGGATTTAGTTTTGTTTGGGTTGTTATTGATAGGCCTCCAGACGACACCTGAGAGTTTATGCTAATGAGGTGACTCAGGTGAGGGGCTGGCCAGGACAGAAAGACCACCTTGTGATATCAGTTGACCCCAGGGGAGAAGGCTGATTCAATCAACCATACGTATGTAATGATACCCTAAAAAGGGGTGTGGACACAAGTTCCTTGGGCTTTCTGGTTAATGAAAGTGGAAGGGTAACTAGTCCCTTTTTGGGACATGGAAGCTTCGCATTGGAAACCCTCTCAGACCTCAGCTTATGTGTCTTGCCTTTGTGCTGATCCTGATTTGTATTGTTTATAATAAAAAGTTGGAATCATAAGTATAGTGCTTTCCATGAATTCTGTGAGTTATTCCATCGAGTTATCAAACCCAAGGGAGTAGTGGGAGCCAGCAGGTCAGAAGTGAAGGGGGCTGGGAACTCCTGAGCTTATGGCTGGTATCCTGAGAGTATAAATTTGTACCCCCAATTTGCAGCCAGCAAGTCAGAAGTGACAGGAGCCTTGGGGAGCTTGTGGCTGGCATCTGATGTCTTGGGCAGACTTGGCAGTCTGAAGGACTGTGTCCTTTAACTTGTGAGGTCTGACCTAGCTCTGGGTGCTTAGGGTCAGAAGAAGAAGTGCTGCATGGGCAGCTGGTATCAGAACACTGGTGGCAGAGAAGTGAAAAGTGGGGATTCTGTTTTATGTTTATTATTATCCTCATAAATGTAGTCAGTGGGAAGCACTGATGTTTTGGCAGCAGGGAAGTTAACAACATTTTTGACCATTTACATTACAGACTATTGCTTCCTTCCCACTGTAGCTTCTATTTCAAAACCATCATGGTTGGATGGGTGGGAGGGAGCCTGGCACTGAAGCCCCTGCATCAGCCCCCCACATTGCCTCTGAGCACCAGCCTCTGCTGGGGGAGCGGCTCCTCCTGCCTCTGGTTCTTCAGGGCAGAGTTTCTGCTCCCCAACGGCAAAGGAGCAAGGAGGCCAGAGCTGGCCAATGGCTCCTGAGTCTCAGTCTGTTTGGGAAATAGGGGACAGAAGTGTGGGCCCAGGCCACGTGGCCTCCAGCTATATTATCTATGCTTTTGTCAGAAGTTCTATATTTTTTATCACTCGGAGTTTATCAAGCAGCAATGTGTCCTGCTAACATTTACATTTTGAATACTTAATGAAAAATAAATTCCAAGTTTTATCATGGAAGAATGGAATAAATTTGAGATCTTTATAATAATGGCTTTTATTAACAATGTTGACTTTGAAAGTTTCTGACCTACAAGAAGAAAAAAGTTCATAAGTAAAAGATGAATTGGAATAAGGTGGCAATGAGACAGAGGGAGGAAAAAAGAGAAAGAAGGGATAGGGCTTACTCCTTGTCTACAAAGAAACCAAAACATTCCTCAAAAAATATAACTTGCATCACAAATAGCCTCAAAACAGTAACCACTAAAACTGCCTAAGCGCTTGCTCTTCTCAAGGTATCCCAACGAGCAGGCCACGAGCGGTGCTGTAAATCACAGCGGTGTTGCGGCTTTGTAGTGTGGCCGCCTGGTTCAGCGGAACTACATTTCCCAGAATTCCCTTCCCTGGGCGACAAGAGAGGTTGTACGAGATTTGGAGGGCGGAACCACAGGCTGTTGCTTATCGGCCTGCAACTGCGCCACCTCGGTCTGGAATCCCCCTTTAACGTCTGCGGCTCCTGCATCAGGTGTGTCTGCTTAGCTTTGAAGGGCCCTGGCCTCTGCAAAGACAGAGGCAACAATAACAAGGTTGAGTCCATCCTCGAGGGCTTGTCAGAGCAAACACATTAAAAATAAGACGTTTTAATTGAACACCCCCTTTTTTTCCTTTCAGAATTCACTTCGGGAAACTTGTAAATTCCCAGTTTCTTTGAAAAGTGTGTAAATCTACAATGTTTTCTCAAAAACCTGCGGAAATCCTCCCCTATCTCCCAGTTTCCTGGAAAGAGATTAGTGTCATTCGGGTGGCTTCACCTACCTCTGGCCATAAAGATAACCAGTTGCCCTGGAATTAACTCCAACTCATGGCAAACCTATGTGTATCACAGTAGACTGCTCCGCAGGGTTTTCAATACCTGATTTTTTGGAAGTAGATCCACAGACCTTTCTTCCAAGGCACCTCTGGGTGGGCTCAAACAACCAACGTTTTGGCTAACGTCTGAGCACATTGTTTGTACCAACCAGGGACTCTGGCCATAAAGACACTAGGAATTTTATCTTGAAAACATGAATGTAATGGGTTGCATCCATTTAGCTATATCAAGGGTCAGATTCCTTCCCATCTTTGCAATGTCTTTAGCAGACTGGCTGTGATGTATCACTTTCTGGTTTAATAATAATAAAACTATTTTCTTTCTCTCCTATTTTTATGAGGGAATTTTCTGAGTTGGGAATAGATTTTGCTTTTAATATTTCCCAACAAGTTCCAACTTGTTCTCACTCTCATCCACTTTATATCCATCCTCCCTTCCTGACAGACTGCTTGACCAGCTCCCACAGTGCATAAGGTCACATATCTAACAAATACATTTGTTGTTGTGGTTAGCTGCTGTCGAGTTGGCAACCCCATGCACATTGGAACGAAACACCGTTGTGATCTACATATAGGGTTTTCAGGTGTAACTCGCCAGGCCATTTTTCCTAGTCCCTCTTAGTCTGAAAGCTCCACCGGAACCTGTTTAGCATCATAGCAATACACAAGCTTACACTGACAGAGGGATGGTGGCCACTCATGAGGTGCATTGGCCAGTTCTCCTGCATGGAAGGTGAGAATTCTACCACTGAACCACCTCTCTCTTTATATATATGTACACACACACACACACAACACACACATACAATTGGCCCTCCATATCTGCGGGTTCCACCATCCACAGATTCAACAAACCGTGGATCAAAAATATTCGGGGGGAAAAAAGTTCCAAAAAGCAAAACTTCAGTTTGCCTGGTGCCGAGCACTAGGCTGAATCCACGCGAATGCAATGATGTGTAGGCATCCCCTGCTGTAGCCTCCCACCATTTCACAGATCCTCAGTCTCTCTCCAGTACTCGTTTGAGCATTGTT